AGAGGAAAATACCGGGAAGATCATCCTGACCCTGCCACTGCTTATGCTGATGATGTCAGAGACATTATTTGTGATGCCCACAGGAAAGGACATAAGGTGTGCTTCCGTTCACATGCATTCCTGTCTTTGGGGATTTACTGAATTCATTCAAGTATTCAAGTATGGTGTATGCTGGCAGTAGATTTACATCGCTGTGTACATTTTTTGTTCTAAGAAGGGGTCATGAGAAAGTTTTTCTTTGCTTAAGTTGTTTAAGTCCCATGAAAACAGTGTTGCAATAACCAAAAAATAACATCCTCCTGCTTCTAATTCACTAGATCTAGTGCTCCAAATTTAGTTGCAATGGATTACATACAGTACATGTATTAAATATGTATATTAAATTATATTAAATGTACATGTATGCATATATTATATCCATATGTGTAAACTGTATATTGTTATGTATATAACAGTAAATTGCACACTTTTGGTTTAACAGACTAATACGGGGAAGGGGTGTCTGTTACTGCAGAAAGTCCATTAAATCGCTGTCATTTTTTTCAGCTCTGAAACACACAATAATATGGGAAATATATACATACAGTACTATTTATACAGTATGCTTTCTGGATCTTTTGACTTTTTTAACAATAACAGTCATCACAACCAATGAAAATTGTGCCTATTACTTTTTTATCATAAATACACAAGCTTTTTATTCCATATATTGTAAAAAAAACTGTATAAAATCTGATAAAGCATACAAAACACAACCAACACTTATAGTAAGTAATTGACCTACCCCTGTACGGCATTGATACTCCTGAATTTTAAACCGATGTAGTAATTATTTGTACCTTGTTTTAATTGTTGTTGTATTTCCCAGTCATTGCAGAGAAAGTCCAGTATTTCTGACAAAATGAATCATATTGTGTCTGTTAAATATGAAGTTTGTTGAACCTAGGGTTTACTGTAATATATTTAATGGCTAATATTTTTTACCATTAGTGTGGGAACGGGTTTGCATTATCTCCGTCTTTATGGCATTTATAGGATTCTATTGTAATGTGATCTGCATTTTAGCAAGATATTTTTAATTTGCAGTGTTAGCAATATTTTGAAATCTTTCTAAGGCTGTTAACATAAAGGAGACAGGGCCCAGGTAATTTCAATCATTGCTCCATTCTTGACACATAGCTTCATTACATTCCATTTTGCTCTTCACCTAGAGATAACACTTAATGAACTGTAGAGCATTCTCATTTATCTCTTCTTGGCTCATTCATTGAAGACCATGTAATAGGATTTTTTGATAGTGATTAATATCAATACTCATTTTATTTTAATCTAAGTGAAAGCTAGGTTCCCAAAAATGAAGGCTTCCAAGAAAGAGAAAAATTCAAAGTCATTTAAATTACACATTTACAAAACATGAAATAATAAAGCACAGCAGTTCAGAAATGATAGGACAATCAGGATTTCACTGGTCCATGTATTTTAGGTGTTAAGCCACAAAGATAATGAGTGGACAGCATAGAGGAGGTGGTGTAGTCAAGTCATAGTTTAGAAAAACAAAAATTCATATAGGATTATGAAAACAAAATTCATAGTATAATCGTTTTCATGTGTGGTTCTTATCTCATGGTATGTGACTGTTAAGCAAAATTATGTTTCAAAACATCTATAGCTTACTTCTTTATGTACGTTTTGTACTGCATATAGTTGCAATGACTCTGATATACAGTTTACTTGAAACTTGTCTTTCCATTGTTTTGCACTAAAAACAAAGTTTAAGTTCATGAACAGGTGTTTACATTAAAAAATGGAGTACAACAGTTTCAGTTATAACAGTTCCATTTCGCATATCATTGTGACAGGACAAGAAGTGATACCCATAAACCATTGCGACACTCTGCTGCTAACACACCTCCTAAAATTTTCTTCACTTTATGCAATGATAGTTGCAATTCTTTCCAATATTTGTCTAAGATTATGATGAAAAGAATAATATTTGCACAGAGTAAAAAGAAAAACTATGATTGTTTTAACAAATGATTAACGAAACCCTATTAATGCTATCCTACTGACCTACTAATTCTAATTTTCTTTAGAATAATAATAGTTACACGTGAAAGCATTTTTACATACATCACAATTCTTTTATTGTGTTTTGTTATTACATTTTTCAGAAAAAATGTAATCTTTTAGCAATGACAGAAAATAATATTTAAAACTGTTACCTGAATTAACATAACATTACTTGAGATAAAATGTAATTCAGTATAGTAAATATTAACTAAGTCGATTGAAGAAGTTAACTTATTCAAAGAAATATGTCTTTGGCTTTATTGACAAAAAGCTTTATTCTTCCCTTTATAGTTATTAATTACCAAAAGAAAACCTTCCAACTGTTTTGTTTGATTCTTCTAGAAACTGAACCTTTCAAAGCACCATGGATGTTACTTACAATTTATTGAGTCTTTACTGTTGAATAAACCTTTCTTCTTTTTTTTTTTACCTGTTCCTTTTTTCTTCTCTCCTCCTACAGTTTGTCTTCACAGGCAGGTCCTGAAAGTGTTGTTCTTTGAGCAAGCGAAGGCCACCCACAAAAAGGCGATAGTGTGTATTGCACACTGCTTTGCAGTAGCTTGTGTCCTGCAGCTTTTTAAAGAAGGCTGCAGAGGTTCTGGCCTAACCCTCTATTCCAGGATGACCAGGCCTGGGGCTCTATTCCAGGACAACATCTCTGATGCAGCTCCTAGAGACTCAAAGAGACTATGCGGAAAGCAGAGTGTTAACTACTGTGACCGCTCACTTGCTTGACTGACAAGAGCTGTACCCTCTGAGGGAATTTTGCATTCCTGTAGATTTCCCAGTTGAAGAAAAATGTAAGACTGTGGTGGATTGACTAATGTCTGAATTTGTGTTGTTAATTTTATTTAATGGTATTACGCCCTGCCTGTTATGTCTTGTGCTCAGTGGTTGTGTAACTACTTTTCTTCCTCCCCAGCAAAGTAATTCTGTCATAGACATTTCTTCAGCTATTTTTTTAGTCTCTGAGGACCCTCTTGATGCCAGAAAAAGGACTTGGTGGTGCTTTTACAGGTGGCGCTCAAGTCCCTTGATACTAAAAGATGGCACAGTTATCATTTTCTTTTATTCGTGCTTAGAGTTTTTTTAAAAATAAGCTTAGATATGGATGTGTGTAGCTTTCACGTCATCTTCTTTTGTGTAGATTGCTGCTTTTATTGCGGAATCCCTGCAGAGTTGTGGAGGTCAGGTTATTCCTCCAAAAGGCTACTTCCAGAAAGTGGCACAGTATGTATAAAAAAACTTGTTCAGTGTTCACCTATTTTGTTTGAAATTTGGGGTCCTTTATTAAAGACGTTCAAGTAGGTAGCTGTGTCAGCATGCGTAGGCTGCAAAGGAACAAGTAAAGGTTTATTCCACGTTGAAAAGAGAAGAAAAGAAACACAAGGTTTCGCCAATAGAGCCTTTCTTTTCTTCTCTTTTCAGCATGGAATAAACCTTTACTTGTTCCTTTATTAAAGACACTTACCTCACAAATCTTCAATTTAAAATATGTTTTATCTTCTCTCGTGTTTTTTTATCATGTACAGTAGTATGGTAGGTAAATTGTGATAAAAATGTGTTATGGATACTCTTCAAATGTATCTTTTTGTTCACAAATTCCTAACTACGTATCTTGTTGAAAAACCAAAATCTCATTATTAAGGGTAACTTTCAAATTATATTTTTCTAACAAAAGTGAGAAAAACTTGGGTTTATTTAAAAGTAAAAGTATTACTCCTAAAATGTAGCCTGCTCTCAAAAGTATAAGTGATCTTAGCATACACACAATACACTTCAATAAAGTGATTGTTAAATCACTGACAGATGGAAGGAGTTCACATTTCGGGAATGACCAGCTCTTTACATGTACAGTAGAGGAGCACAGTGGCACAGGATTCTTGCTCTCCTTTTCAGGCACGTGCGGCAAGCAGGTGGGGTGGTTATTACAGATGAGGTGCAGGTCGGCTTCGGGCGTGTTGGAAAGCACTTCTGGGCCTTCCAGCTTCAAGGGGAAGACTTCATTCCAGACATTGTCACCATGGGGAAGCCCATTGGCAATGGACATCCCATGTCTTGTGTGGTCACAACAAGGGAAATCGCAGAAGCTTTCATGTCATCTGGGATGGAATACTTCAACACGGTGAGTCCACAATGATAACTCCTTCTGATGTAATGTTTGGAGCCTACAGACCCTTTGCATTATATGATTATACTGATTCATTTCATGAGCACTTTTCCTTAACTCTATCTCCACAAGCAGTGTGATGGAAACTGATACAAATATTGGGTTTTGAAGTGTGTGGCTAAGACACACACCTACATTGTGCTTGATACATGTAGGTTATTCTCAATTTGTAACAATCTCCTATGATAACAAGTCAGCCAAAATGCTGTAAACATCTGGGATAGCTGTACTGTAGCTCCTTCTGGATATAGGATTACACCTTGAGCAGTGCTAAGTTAGATGTCAAATCCAGCAAATGGCTGCACAACCAAATAAACAGCAATAAAGTATAAATGATGTTTGACATCTTTAAATGGTATGTCTCATTCTTATATACATGGGGAACTGTACAGTGTGAAGAATATAAATGGACAGTGTTTTGATAGAATATAGGTGTTTGACACAGTTTCTTTTGTGCAGATATCCCCATCACCAAATTAACTATAATAATAATTGCTTATTATTGTACACTTATATAGCACTTTTCTGGACACTCCACTCAAAGTGCTTTACAGGTAATGGGGACTCCACCAATGTGCAGCATCCACCTGGATGTTGCAACGGCAGCCAGAGTGGGCCATAACACTCACCACACATCAGATATCAGTGGGGAGGAGAGCAGAGTAATGTAGCCAATTCCTAGAGGGGGATTATTAGGAGGCCATGATTGGTAAGGGCCAATGGGAAATTTGGCCAGGACGCCGGGGTTACACCCATACACTTTTCGAGAAACACCCTGGGATTTTTAATGACCACAGAGTCAGGACCTCGGTTTTACATCTCATCCGAAGGACTGCACCTGTTTACAGTATAGTGTCCCCGTCACTATACTGGGGCATTAGGACCCACATGGACTGCAGGGTGAGCGCCCCCTGCTGGCCCCACTAACAGCTCTTCCAGCAGCAACCTTAGTTTTTCCCAGGAGGTCTCCCATCCAGGTACTGACCAAGCTCACACCTGCTTAGCTTCAGGGGGTTGCCAGTTGTGAGTTGCAGGGTGATATGGCTGCTGGCATACTATGACACAAAATCTAAAAAGTTAAATGCAAAAGGAGGGCTGGAAGGCATGGGTTCCTCAGAGCTTACATAGTTGAAAAAAGGCAAGCACCTCCAATACACAGCAGCTGATAATGTAAAGGCTTTGCCAGTCTTCATTCCTTGGTGATAGGAGATGGTGAAATTGAAGCAGGAGAAGAATGGGGTCTGGCAGCATGGAGGCTGACAGAGTTTGCTGAAACAGAATGAAGATAAGCAGAGATTCAGGAAGAAAAAAGGCATTTATTTCAGAGCAGATGCAGACAGGGGCTTAGAGGCTGCACCATTGTACTGGATTCTTGCAAGGAACTGTGTTAGTAGTCTGGTGCTGAGAAGGAAATAGTCTAGTATTAAGCAAATTACCTGAAAGTAGCTCCATGAGACAGAACCAGATCAGTGGCATAGTAGGGTTTAAGTAGTTTGGCCTGATGTATAAAGCACCCATTAATTGGATGAAGAAGGCTGGGGCAATTGACTCGAGCAAGACTGTATAGCCCCAGGGGGAATGTGACGTCTCATGGAAATATGCCCAGCTTCCAAGGAATCCGAGGGTTGTGAGCCCTGACTCGCCCAGACATTTTGGATAACACTTAACCTATTGCAAATTTAATCATACTTAATCATCTATATCCACAGTGAAGAATTCACTTAAAATCATCCTGTATAATATAAGGCACTTTAATGAAGACTTTTCATTTAGACTGTTACTGTTCTAGCTTTCCAGAACTTACTTTTCCCTTGTTTCTGCTTTTACTAGTTTGGAGGCAACCCAGTTTCTTGTGCAATTGGGTTAGCTGTGCTTGATGTTATTGAGAAAGAGGATCTCCAAGGTAATGCTGACAGGGTGGGGAAGTACCTGACTGACCTACTCAACCAGCAGAAAGAAAAGCATCCGCTTATAGGAGACATCAGGTAAGCAGAGCTGCAAGACTCATTAACTGGTCTTAAAAAATTCATTTGTGTCATGTGTCATAGACCTCAGCACAGCAACTGGGATAATTCTTCACAGGTTATCATATCTTGTTGCAGGGATGGGAGGTCCCCAAGATACCTGTTATTCTGACCTGTGCTACAGAGAAAACACAAATTCTACTTGAGATAATGAAAGATTATTTTTGTCAGCTTATCTAATCATAAAAGCCATTCTAAACTGACGTTTCCTCAAGTGAAAAACTAGACCGAGAGCATACAGGGTGTTTTATATTTACTGTACATGCACTCTGAGGATACTAATTATTATTTTTTTATAAGACACAAAAAGAAGCATTATGACCAACAACTGATATTTCTACTAATATAGAAAGAAAAAAAGGTGTTTCACTGGAATTTTGCAAAAAAACATGCCCTGTTTTCAGTTATGGCTGTGTATTCTTATGATGTTACCCACATAATTTATTTTTTGCTCATTCGGGCATAAAAACCTCAACTGTTTATGGTGCTTCTTAGCTTTCCTTACTCTCCTTGTAGCTTCTGCCTGCATGTTTTTGCCATTTCTGTACCCGTTTTTCTTCTAACATGTTTAGCCTAGCTGCTCTTTAATTTCAATTTCATTTCAAAACTGGGTTGAAAATCAAACCCTTCATCCACATCTCATCTGCCTGAAGCTTTGGCATTACAGCAAAGTGAGAAATGATACTGTTCCTTTATAGTTATACTGTACCTTGAATTGTAACTTGATCTCTTGTCAGCACAATGACAAAGCAGACCCAGTTTTTCACATTACTACTAAAATGTAGGCAAAAAAATAGACACATTGCAGCTAAAACTAAAAATAAAAAGTCAAGGGAAGGAACAAATTAAGAAAAACTCACAAAATTAGAAATGACAACGTGTTCACTTCTATCATGGAAAAAGTATGATGAAAACGATTTATGAAAGCTTTTTCCTTCAAGGTGTTGCCTTTTCTGTTGTTCTGTCTCAGGGGTGTTGGTTTGTTCATCGGTGTGGACTTGGTGAAGGACCGAATAAAGAGGACCCCAGCCACAGCTGAAGCACAGGACGTGATCTACAGGTGGGTTATATGTGAATAAAAGATTTGAAAAAAGATATTTTATTGTACTCATGCCTGACCCCTATATTCTATAATTGTGCTAACTACATTAGTATTAAAACTCCTTGAAGGGTTAATTCCAAAAGATTCCCATGGTCACAAGTAACTCAGAGCCCAGATTTAATTATAAAACCAAACATTACCATCACACTCTCTCATGTTACTCCACCTAATCAGTTCTGATGGCTTTTCAGGGGCAATTTCTGATAAAATTATGATGAACTATCATAACAACTACCTACACAGAGTGTAAAGCAAAGATAAATTGGGCAACTTCTGAATGCCTATAGTCACCTTATTCTATGTTTTAGGAATGTTACATTGTGCTTACATTTGTATCTGTGTTTGATGGGAGACTTTTAACTCACCAGGCTTAAAGAACATAATATCTTGCTAAGTGCTGATGGCCCTCATAGGAATGTTCTGAAATTCAAGCCACCAATGTGCTTCTCTGAAGAGGATGCCAAGTTTGTGGTGATTAACATAGATGCAATTCTCACAGGTATGAAATATATTCTGGTAAACAATTACTGCACTTTCATGACACAGAAATGTAGACATCCTGTATTTGAAAATAAAACTGCTTGAAAGTACAATAAATATCTCATTGTGTTTCCTGTCAAAACAATATCTTTTCTCATGCTGTAAAATATTTTAAATTGTTATTAAATTGTTATTATCTTTCTGCTATTTTATTATTTTGAATATTCTAATTATCCTCGATTAAGTATATTTTTTTAAAACATACTTAAGATAGGGACTGGATACTGAGGAAAGAAGTTAGGTAAAATGAAGTGCTTTTCAACAACAAAACACAAAGCTGGTTGTCTGAGCTAAGATAGCATCAATATCATTACCTATTCTCTGCGTACAGGTGACTAGTATTCCTTCATTGAATTACTGAAGTGAATTTAATCCTTCACTGCAAAATAAATTAAGTGGAAAATTAAAATCCATCCACTGAATGAAAACCAGATGTTCTAAATATAAGCCACCTGTTGAGATAAGAGTTGATACAGTTATCCCTTGTCTCTGGGCTTAGACTAGAGAGCATTAATAACTGCTTCAGTGGCCTCACAGACTCAGCAAAAGAAAGTTTGCATGGACTGATTGACCTACACATGAACCCTAGTAACAAGTACCTGGAAAGACCAGGGACTAGAAGTACTCTCACCACCTGTTATGGTTGAACAAATTGGTCGTATACTGTGATTAAGTTCCTCAGTTGAAGAGGATAAAAGAATACCTGCTGAACAAAATAATCAATCTTCCATAGAAACAGGAAAGAGAAATAGTTGGACATTGAGAAATGCCTAATTACTTTACTTATCAGATTTGAAAGAAAAACATCTCTCAGGTTGTGTTTATTAAATATCGTTGAGATCAGCATGGGGAGCAAAGTATCAACATTTTTTTTCCAGTCACTGTGTATCACCTGCACCTTGCTGTTATAACTAAAAGGTTCTGGTTTCTATTTCAGACATTGAAGAAACAATCAGACAACAAATTGACCACTGCAGCACAACTAACTGTGAAAATGGTACCAACAAAAGAAGGGTAAAATACATTAATTTAAGCAATCTGTCACAAAAGGCTAGATAATATAGCTAGAAAATTCAGAAAATAAATCTTGGGAGAGCCATTGCAATGAACACAAAAGTCTTAGTTTAGTCTAGACAACTAAGAAGGCTTCCTGTAGACAACCTAGGAAATAATAGCAATTACAAGGCTGTGCCATTCTTATTTAGATACAGACAATAACCCTCATATTAAAGCATATATGACTTTACTACCTGAATGCAAAGATTCAAAGCGTTGTTTTAAAAAAAATTTTTGGGGTGAGAACAACCTGGCCTGGTCTTGGCTCCAACTATAAACCATCATTCACAAACAGGCAAGAGTCAAGTATATAGGGGAGCATGAACAGGAGGCATAGTGTAAGCTGCAATCAGGGGAATGCAGCCAAAATGCAGTCCAGTGTTAAGTCCTATACAGGTGAGGTTCAAAGCTGGGTTGACACAGAAGCACAGTACAAAGGGAAATCTGCACTCAAAACTGAGGGAAGGGTCCATAAACTAAGAAACACTCTACAAAAGCAAAAGAGTAGAACCCAATGAAAGTAATAAGGGTGAAGTGAGGGTCCAGAATCCAGGAAACAAACAGCGTGAACTAAGAATTTAGTGTGAAGCTAAAAGCCTAGCAAACTATGACAGGGGTCATAAGCTCTGTCAGATCACAGCTGAAGTAGCTTGAACCACCTGAGGTGGGAGTGGTAATACATTGCCTCCAGGTGGTGTGAGGCTCCTCTCAGATTAATATCCAAGGCAACCAGAGCCGAATGACAAATGATATAGGTGTGGCTGGCTACCATGTAAATACTCACTCCACAGCTCAGCAGTAGAAGTGAGCATGACACTATGAATTACTCTGTTTGCTGCCCTTGATATTTTAATTGAGATCAGTGTGACAATTAGTGCCACCTTCACAAAAATGATGCACTTTTTCTTAAGTAACTCACAAATATTACATATTTTTTATAAATAAATGCACTGACTTTCTGAAACAAATTGTTTTACATTTGTAATTTTGTTTTTAGCATTACAATGAATCATGCATTTACAAATGGGAAAGCTTGAAGGTTTAGGGGAATTATGTATCTTTGTTTTTTTTAAGAGGTCAGGTACAGTATGTCTGAAAGACGTGGCCGCAAAATTCCATATACATTTAAGAACAAAGTTCAATGCTGATGACCCATTAAAATGGATTTCCAGAAAATAAAAACATAATCATATGCTCTATTTTTTCTTCTTCATATCTTCATTTGCTGAAAAATTACTTTCACAATTTGCTTCACCTAATTGCTAACAGCTTTGTAGATTTAATTACCACTTACTATAATTTCTTTTTGTTCTGCAATCATCAGATTTGTAAGATGCTAAAGTCAAGGTTTTAGGAATTAATTTAATATGTTGAATTTTTGTAGATGCCATTCAGCATCAGCGAACACACTAGTGAAGGATCTGAGCATCAGGACTGTGTGAATGGAGGACATTTGAATGGATCTGCAGGCAGTCAAGACATCTCATTTTCCCCTGATGCAATGCCTAAGAAAAGATTAAGAACATAACGCAATCACCTATTACCTTGTAAACATATTTTTCTAAGAGATATTTTGAGAATCATGGAGCATTAACTATAAAATCTATGGAATAAGATGTGTGGTTCAGGTTAATTATGCAGAAACAATTATAGGTCTAATAAAAAATGATTATTACATACAGTATGTCATTTTAAAACTTTTGGAATTTTGGGTAAGATGTTATGTTCTTATATTCTTAAAATACCATTTGCCTTATGTAACTTTTATACCAGAACAAAAACACTATCTCATGTATTTTTATTTCTAAGACTAATTGTAAGAAGCATAACATCATTTAAGTGGGAGGCTCTGAAAATACCTTTAAAGATATGTAGAGCCTGATTGTTAAGTATAGTACCTAAATGATTGGGAGACCTTGAGAGGGAGAAAGAAAACCCTTTTAAATGTGTTCTTTGTAGGTGTTACAAATGCATCTATGTTATGTCTATATGTTAAACCTCTGCTGGGAATATAAAATTCAATCTGCTGATTGTCTGGATAAGTCTTGAAGTGCATATTGTGCCATTATGTGTTTGTGTTGGAAAACTGTCCTCACTCAACTTGAATGGTTCTGTTACTGCTCTTTTCCAGTGTTGGGCTCTGTAAGAGCAGTCTGGACTTTTATACTGCCTGTGATGTTCCTAATTGTCTGGGGCAAAATGTGATGACTTGTCTGGTAGCACATGGTAATTAACGCTGCCATGCCCATGTATACGATTCCCACTGTTCAGGGTAGGTAATTAATAATTAACCTGTCTCTATTGTTTTTTCTCTTGCTTTTGTTTTATTGTAAAGCACCTTGAGATGATGTTTCATGAAAGGTGCTTTATAAAATAAAAATTAGTATTATAAATATTGTATTTACTATTCTACAGTATATAGCGATACACTGTAAAAGACTAAAAAGTGGATTTTTCAAAAGTAACACAATGAAATATCCAGATAATATCCAAATATCTGGCACAAATATCCAGTGCAGTGAAGTCTTACATGAAAATTCCTAGTCTTACAAAAAAATCTTTACATGAAAATGTCTAGTTTTGGATGCAAAATTAGGAAATCTGTTTTCCTGAGATCTGTTTTTACTTGAATGATATTTAGGCAATAATTTCATCATTTGGTGGTGAATGTCACTTTCAGTTTACATATTCTCATCATGTATCTCTTAGACTCATGAACAAAGAGTGTGTTTGGGATTAAGTTTAACTTTCTAAAGCAGTGTCAATTCAATTTAAATGGCATTTGTTTTAAAGCTGAAAGCTACAGTATGTTACAAATAATGCTAAAAAACAAATAAATCTCAATTATACTATAAACATATTTTTATTTTTTCAGTGCTATTGTTTTTTTTATTTCTGTGCTCTATTCCTTTTTATAAAATCACGTATCAAGCAGAGTAATCATCAAAGGTCACATAAGAACTGCATTGAAATGTATACAGTATCCTGTAACTTGCTGTTTAGACTGTTTATTCATGGTATACTGATTTACTGTTTTAATGTACTGTACCTATATGAAGGCACACAGTGGCAGTGTGTGCATGACTGAAAATAGCAAATCAACGGGAAAAAATTTATTGAGCAACTTTACTTGGAATATGGATAGAATGCATTGGTCTAGTCTTCTGAATTAATTTACATGATAAATCAGCAATAGCATTCCAAATAAACGAGTAAGAGATCTATCATATTCTGTAGATTGTTCTATCATGCCTAGAACTGCAGAACAGAACCCAGACTGAGCATCTGTTCTGAACCCTGGCATTTGAAACTACAAGGACTCTACAGTGTTGCTGAGCAAGAATATTAATAGACTACTGCAGTGTTAACAGTAGACCAGAAAATCACTTTTTTCCATTATAGGCTTGTGCGGTAGGATGACCAATTTTTTAAAGCTGCAAGTTTATCCTCTCTTAACTAATTGACAGGCCATTTGTGGGCACTTCAAAGGATTTGCTTATCTCAGCAGGAAGAAGGCAGTACATTTAGTAGAAAGAGAAATAATTATATTCTGTTAGAGTATTATCAGATTGTAATTTATTCACTTAGAGTTTTAAATTTGAATCTTCCTTTTTTACTTTTCTCAGATATCACAGTCTCTAAAATTGTATACTTCATGATATTATTTTTTCAAAATACTGAAACAAGAAACAATAAAAGAAAAGAAAGGAAAAGTTAAAGGGTAGCCACAAAATACTGTAATGTGAAAAAGGAATATGGAATAAAAAAGTAAAATATAAAGGTATACAAGATGTAAGAACTTTTCTGAACATTTCTGGAAAGATATTAAGTTAAAAATTGTTACTCTTACTTTTTTATCAGACTTGTAGTACAAAGGTGAACCACTTGACCTTCTGCTTTTCTGACCATCAGTTTTAAAAACACCAAATATCAAGAATGTTAACAATATTCTGTCTTGTTTTTTAGCCACTTGTGATCTACCAATCATATAATTTGTGATTATTTGTTTTAGTTCTCTTTTGAAAGCATTCCACCTTTAAACCTGTCCAGTTACTTTTGATATACTGTACGCAGAAATATTTTGCTCTGAATAACAAACCTCCAAAAACACCCCGTTAATGTTTGATTTCTTGGAATCACAGCACAGGTTCTCTAGATAATGTTTAAATGATGCTGTTGACTCAACAGTCAGCCATCTTACTTTTTTTAAATAACACTTCTCCAAGATTTAAATACAGGAATAAATTCACCTCTCGCAGTTATCATTGAAAATAAAAAACAACTTAAAAAGCTACAAATCAAATGTAAACAGTCAAGTGTTAGCACATATCATGTATTTCACAACCCAATGTTTTCACTAAATCTACACTATGAAAAATGTTTGCTCCATTGGAAAGAGGATCTTCTGTTCATAGAGGAGCACAGCTTGTTCTCTTGGCAAAGTTTTCATGTCAGTGGCCTCCCCGTCAGTGGACAAGGACAATTCAAGAAGCATGACTCAGGCATTCATTTTAAATATTTAGATGAAAGGCTGCTCCAGTGGGCTTCTCACACAATTACATCTTTCAGCTTCCTACGTATGATAGTGCTGAAGGGTAAGAGTTAGTTGGAATGGCAACACAGCTGTAATTAATTCACAAAGTTGAATTTCTCCCGTGAATTTGATTTAGCTGAAATTGACTAACCCAGCCTAGAGAAATGTTACTTGTGATTTACAATTTAAAGTTTCCAATGCCACCCCTCCCACACACACATTTATATCCTTTTTTTAATGTACCCCTATTGAACTGCAATCTCACATCCACCTGGGAGAGGACAAAAAGGCACAATCTCTTATTCCCCAGGACACGTGCGGTTTCAAGTTCAATTTCAAGTTTATTGTCATTATACTCATATACAGGTATATGGTATAACGAAATGCTATTTAGCTAGCTCTCAGACGATAAGCAGTACAAAAAAAAACAATACAATTGTATAATAAAAGACAGAGACAACAGGCAGTGTGCAAAACAACAACAGGCAATGTGCAAAACAACAAAAGGTAACAGGTAATGTGCAAAACCATACATTAACAGAATTAAATAAAGAATAGAAAATTCTGGGAAGTGAGCTTTATGAAATGTGAGGTAGAGGTAGATTTCAATGTGTGTTTGAGTTTTTGGTAAGAAAGAAGGCACTGTGAGGTTCAGATCGTAGGTGAGAGAGGCTGGGAGTTTAATCATTTTTGATAGTTTTTCAACTTCGTCAGTTGTTTCCTAATAACAAAAATGTGGGTATACGCTAGAGGACTAATACAACTTTGAAGGATGTGTAATGGGTCTCTAACGCAAAGTTCAATTAGTAGGTTCCATCTTCCCATACCACAGCATAGCACTGGACTATTTTTTTCAATATCACAAGGCAGTACTGGTCACAACAGTTTGAGGGTCTCATCATTTTTCTCCTGCAGACCTACTAGAGAGGTAGGAAATTTCTTTCTTCCTCTAGATGTAAGAGAAAATTAATAAAGCCCTTTAAATATTTCAGCATATTTCGCACTAAGGATCCAAAGGGAAAATAGTATACTAAGGAATGGTCTTTTATATCTGTCTGTCTGTGTCAGGAGTTGCAGCGAAGTGGCTCGTTAGGACCCTATGCGAGCCTGTGGTAGATTAATCCTGGAAAGATTCTGTAAAGTTGCAAAAGTAACCAATTCCTAACACCGTAAAGCGATGGCATTGTCAAGGGATTGAGCAAGGGTTTTGAGGGCCAAAAGATGACTGGGTTTAAAGTGTTCTTTCCCAAAAAGGTAAAGCAAGGGTTGAGCTCGGAAGAGGGAACCTCAATAGTGAGCGGAGACTGAGTGGAGTGAGAGGGTATGAATAGGGAAGACCGTGTGGATTGAAAATTGATTATTATTTTATAAATGATAAAATGTTAAAAACAAATAGTCGATTTACCCATAACTGGAAGACATCACAGTACAATGATGAATAAAACTATATTGATCTTAGAGCACTGTATGTGTTTTTGAAGAAAAAAGCAGAACCTCATCTGGAAAAGCAATTCTCCAAAATACCAATTTACCTTATTCTTTCCTTCGATTTAGAACGTTCAGCTGTGAAATTAAGATCAGCAGACAAGTAGAGTCCTAGTTAGGAAGAGACTAGCTTTAGACCTCTGAATAGTTCACGTTTTCTCTCTCGGCTATTTTCCTCTTTTTTTCTGGGACACCTTTATCTGCAGAGCTTACATTTTGTATGCATTGATTTGGGCCTGCAATTATGCACTTATTATCATTACTCAAACTTTTTTTTTGTTTTTGGACTTCTTCTCTCAGAAAAAAACACTTTTTCGGTGTAGGTAAATTGTAAACATAAAGTGTTATTTTATCTCCTTCCTGGTAAGATAATTCACTGTATATTCTTCCACTTCTCTGTCAGGCTGCATGTTTGAAAGAATCACCAGCTGGTTGCACAGCCTCTCACTCATCCCTAAGTGCCGCAATTCTGTTGTTCTAAACAGTTTTGAGAACCATTCTCGGTTTTCTGATAGAAGGGGAAATGCACGTTATTACACACTCTAGCAGGTGCCATGTTTTCTTTTAAGATAGTAAGATAAACAGACGTTAAACACATCTAATACTAAATCTTCCAAAT